TATATATATATATATATATACATATATATATATATATATATGGTAAATAGAAAAAATAGACCAGAACTAAATATATAAACAGCAATACAAAAACATAAATAAATACATGTAAACTTTAAATGAAACAAAAAATACAAAATAACTAAAAATCAATGAATAAATACAACAAAGCAAAAGAAAAAGAAAAGCTAACAAAATAAAATAAAAAAAACAAAGGACACATACATCTATTTAATGTTTTTAAATCATTCCAGTTTTGAAAGCTATATTACCTGCCCTGAATGGCTCTGACGCAGTGAACTGCACCTGGATGGTAAACACAGAGACTTCCAGCCTCAATATCACAGCCATAATCAGTCTGAAAAATAAGACTTATTTACTAAATCAAGCTTTACCACATTTAACTAAAGCCTGGGTAAATCTTTGATTGGTGGTATATTGAAAAATCTCAAATAACAGTATTAATAAAGTGTGAGCTGAAGTCATAGCACCCACATGAAATCTCCCAGTGTCAGCGCGGGCCTGGGCCAGTGTGCAGGGGCAGTCGGTGATCTCTGTTAAGAAGTCGGGCATTGATTTCTCTTCTTTATCCCAAAGAAGACACTTCTTTAGAGCCCAGCCTGCAGAGTCTTTCCTGAAGGCCTCTTCTAGATGCCAGGCGACTGCATGTTCTTCGCTCCACAGGGCATTAACATCTCTGAACAAAAATGGATGAATTTTAATAGAACTATAATGTTTATTTATGTACACGCACTGAAAAAATCATATACAGTTGAAGGAAAAATTATTTACTCTCCTGTGATTTTTTTTTTCTCTTTTTTAAATATTTCCCAAATAATGTTTAACAGAGCAAGGAAATTTTCACAATATGTCTAATGATATTTTTTCTTCTGGAGAAAATCTTTTTTGTTTTGAGTAAAATATTTAATTTATTTTAAAAGCATTTCAAGGTCAAATTATTTTTCTATAGTCTACAGAGGGGATTCTCAACAAGTGGGCCATTGCCCACTAGTGGGCCTCAGCAATCCTGCTGGTGGGCCGCAAAATAGCTTATAATTAACTTAAATATTATACTATAATTTATTTGATTTCATTATCAAATTTGTCATATTAAAATTATATTGGTAAAGCAATTTCCCGATTTCTGTGATTGAACAGGCTAACTCGGATTGCAAAAACATCCTCATTATTAATTATAGACAAATGTGGCTTAAATTTCCAACCTCTGCGTGACAACTGGGACCACGTTCTTATAGTTGTATAAAGCAAACAGTTAATGTAAAGGTAACGATGATAATAATAACCAGTTCGCGCGTGCCTCACATCTACGACTACTGTATCAGAGTTGCACAAGACCATTGGTTCACAAACTATGCATGTTCTCTTTGTGTGAACACTTTATAATATTCGCATAGTTGCCTAAATTAACGTCTTGTGACCGTTTTATAACTGACGCGCGTCCATACAGGAGGATTTAGCGAGACTCTGTAGTGTTTCAGTAGTGAACAGCTGATCACTGTTCCTGTCATAATTTTCAGCTACAAAATCAAACCGCTATCAGATCGATGTGTTTCAACAGATTTAGAGGGTTTTTTAAACTGTATTTTGAATTTAGGGTTCGATTGTTTATCTTAATGGATATAGATCAATAGATGAATAGAAGTCAGTCGAATTCAAAGCAGCAGAAGTTTTTTTTTTTTTTGCCACTTGTACAAATTAGATCATACGAATTCATACGAACTAGCCACTAAATCAAAAAGTCACGAATTGCCATAAGACTGCGTTGTCCTGTCAGGTTCCTTTACTGAAGAAAAGGCCCAAATACTATACAGTTGTAAAGAATAATGGCTCGTTTCCACTGACTGGTACAGTAAGGTACGAATCGGGTCGGTACAGGTCACCTTTATCAGGCTTTCGTTTCCACTACCAAGGGTACCTTTTTGGTGAGCGTGGTACACGACAAAAAGTTTAAGTCGACGTCATTCTCGATTGAATAGAGTGGAGGAACTATGACGCCAATTTGTATGCAAAAACCCGGAAGCGAGTTAGCATTTTAGCAGTTCCGGTTCCCTCGTCCCAAAGTCGATGGGTTTTTTGAATAGGGTTTCAGTAAAATCGCTTAAATAAGGTTCGTGGCTAACGCAAACTCAAGATACTTTCACGTTTTGTTCTACAACATAAAACACATCAGTTACATCACACTCTTGATTTTTTAAATCGCTTATGCTTCTTTAAAAAGACGGTTGCTATCAAGTTGCTAAATGGGACAACAGGCGGTGTCTGAGACTTTATATGTCATCGAGCTGATCTGGTCTGGAGAGCAGCTCGCTTGTGTTGGGCATTTGGATTTGTCTGTTTAGGTATTTTCATGAATAGTATTTTACAGTTTGTAGTATTTGTCTAATTGGGAATTCAGATTGTGTGTAGAAAATTCCTTCACATGTAAAGACTGTCGAGACGCATTCATTTGTTGGTCATTTATTTTAATTAAGCGATATTATGAAGATACTGCCTACCAGTGCAGCCTGTCTCTTTCCTGCTCTCTGTAATGCAAAAGTGTGAATAAATGTGTAAAAATACATGCATGTTATCTGTCATTTTATTGTGATCAAGTGATTTTCGTCTTTTTTTTTTCATCTGAACACATTTAACTTTGTCATAAATGCAATATTTACACTCCTCCATAAAATGTATAGCAGATGTGACTGTATGGGTTGCGTTTCACTGTACTTCGTGACAAAAAAAGGAATATTAAATGTTGCTCTGTGTCCATAATGATGGAACTTGCAGGCCTTTGATAAACTTGTTCCTCCTCACGCCTCATTTCTGTCATCTGTTAAGGTAAGCAGGCTGTGTGCGCGTGAGTGATACACTTATTTAAACATGTCTTTTGATAATACTATGTAGGCACATTTACACATACAGTTTTAAAACTTATTTTGAACAACCATAAAGCAAAACAGACGTATTTCCCACGTAAAAACGATCCAAAAGGCACATAGGTCTATGTGTTGTTGCGTATTTATTTGTTTATATTATATAGCGTGGACAATATTACAATAAACAGAGAGATTAACTCTTGGTCATAGACATTGTTTCTAAAAATAAGCTTGATAAGTTGTCTGTAGCAGGGTGGTGCTGACGTCACAGGCACGCGCCCCGAAGGCAGTGTAGTCTGTTTATAGCCTAATGTTAGCTTTTCAGTTCTTGCGTTTACATTTCAGATCCAAAAGTGGTCAAAGTTGTATTTTCGTGTGAGGATTATCCGGCTGGACAAAACGTGTAAGTGTAATGAACAGTGTTTGAATACAGGGCTTATTATTTGCAATCTTCGAAAAGCCTAAGGTAAAATCCCATAGGGATTTTGTCGAGGGAACCAGTTTTATGCTAGCAGCCGATTAGCCTATGAAGTGACGTCATAGTTCCTCTACTCTATAAATGTCTACAGTAAAGCTGTACGGGTCGTTTACATACAGTATCATAAGCACTTCTCACGAAATAGATGCTTTATCCACAAATACTTGTTTTTAAATGTTTATTACTAACTTTTCAATGAAGAGGATTTGATTGTAACTGCAGATCAATGACAGTGCAAAATAGCCTACTGCAACGTCTGTAATTATATTAAATAAATAAATAAATGAACATTTATGAACACATACAGACCCTTACAGTCTCCGATATATTATTAATTACAGAAAAACTACACTTAGCAGAAATTTAGTACTTATTTGAGTTACAAAAACACATGCAATATAGCCCACAGTCAGCACAAACCTCACATGTGCTGGTGAAGATTACAGACACAGATAAAAGCTGTTAGAGAGTAAATTTGTCATTCCCAGTTCATAATAGTCCATAAGGCAAATATAAACATGGCAGTTTGTACATGATTCAGGCTGCTAAAACAATTTTGCTCCTGAGTTTTGTCGGGCTTCTCCTTTTTTCTGCGCTTTACTCTCGCGTTTGTCCTTTTCTTTCTGAATGGATCAGATGATGGAGACACTTCAGTAATCACACACATTATTATCTTCAGCTCAAGAAGTTCGTTATATCAAATATAGACGCGATCGCAAGCTGCCGGAAGAAAGCGAAAACCGCTCGCCCTTTTAGACGGGCTCGTAAAGCAATAACAGGACATGGCAGATTTTTCTCCTTGGCTTTGTGTCTGTTCATGAAGACGACGACTAGGTTTGTTTGAGCTCGGGTTATCCATGGCTCGTTATTATATGCATATAGAATTTCATGTAATGTCTCGGCTGTGTATTAACATTAGAACAAGGCGGTTCATTTGTTTTCCTTCTGTCTAGCTCCATGAGCTCGTGATGGATCTCTGTAACCAAGGAGCGTTCAGCTGCACGTGTAGCTCCACCTTTTGGTACCCTATCTCCTTTTTGGTACACTTTCGAAAGGGTGCCAAAAAAGTGGTGCGGTACAGTTCGGTATGCTTTTGTATATTTGCATTGAAATATACTAGTTTTTCTGAACTAAATAAAGGATACTTCATCTAAAAATGAAAGTGTGATGTGATGAAGATGAGGCTGAAAATTGAAATTATATTTTAGAGATAAAATAATTTACATTTTAGAGGTTTAGTGAAAGTGGGTCAGAATGACCCACAATTTTTCTCTTTTTTGCCCTTACAAACACCACCAAGCTCTTAAAACCACAGGTAAAAAAACTAAGTTCTCACCGGGCCCCGTCAGGTTTGGTGCTGGGACTGATCCTCATGCTCCCCAGGTCCCAGAGGGAGAATGGGTTATCTGCGATCTGTGGGGTGAAACTGAAAACGCCAGTGTTGGGCACATCTCTGCCTACACTGTACAGATATTTCCACTCCGCCTCCCAGTCAGAAGAATATGCCTCTCCTGATTGTGTATCATAAAAATGTTAGTTAATAATAATAATAATAATAATAATAATAATAATAGATCTGCTGTATGCCCTTTGGGTTGAAAAATCAATTGTAAAGTGACAGAACAATAGACAGATTAATACAATGACATAAATAATAAAGGATATTTACAGGATGAAAGATAGAATGATAGAACAATAAGCAGTAGACATAATAAAAACAGATTGTTAAGGAAGAGAACCACAGTGATATGAAGCTATAATAGTAGGATGCGTAGAACAAAACATTTATTAAAAGGCAGAATCAAAACTAAAATGATACATGCAGTAGAAAAGCAAACAAAAAAGAACAACAGAACTTTATAACAAGGGGTAGATAAAATGATTAAATAACTGTTTGAAAAGTCAAAGAATGAAAGACAGAACTATAACAGAATCCTAGAACATTGTTTTGGTGCGTGTATGTTCTTTATGTCTCTCTCTCTTCCTGCCCTGTAATTTTCATAGGTACCGCCTACTTCGGAGCACTAATGGCTGACAGGACTGCCAATCCTAATCAACTGTGTGACGACTTTTCTTCTCTCTGCCAATCTCACTCAGTGCAGAGCCCTTTAAATTCGAAGCGGCAACAGGAAGAGATCAGCTGCTGTTGTTGTTTGGCATGTTGTCTGTTTGATGGTGTCCATGTGCCTTTGTAGCTGATACTAATGTTGACTTTGAGTGAGATCTGTTTGAGTTAACCATTGTTACAGTGCTGTCGTGTGTTTTCACATCTTTAGACCGCTAACTCTTCATTCAACACTTTCTGTGATTTGCAGACAAGGGAGATCTGTAAGAACAGTCAAGTGACATACATACCTTGCACACAGGATTATTGATTTATAGACACACTAGTTAGCGAAATGTGCTAGTTTGTATTTCTTTTTTTCCGTTAGTGTAAGTTCAGGGCGTTTTTTCGATGAAGACCTTTCTTTTTCATATTGTTACTTTCTTTTTAGAGGATTGGGGAGGAGATTAAAGAGCCCATATTATGGGTTTTTGAAAATGCCCCTCTATGTAGTGTGTAACACAGCTCTAAGTGAAGTGAAGTATCCAGCTAAGGCTTAAATCTGTAAGAGTACAGTGTTTAAAACTGTTGATTCATCTATAAAGAGTCGACTCATAGTGATCAAACGAGTCGCCTTGATACCGAGTCATTAGGTGTTTCGCCATGACGTACGAACGAAACCAAGTTATTCACGTGCACGCGCAAACCCGGGAGATTTCAAACCTGAGGCCCCGCCCTCTGACGCAGTAACCCAGACACACACACACACACACACACCCACACACACACACACACCCACGAACACACGCACACAAACATGCCGGTTGATTGAAGTCACACTGCAGATGGATATTATCGAGTCTCTACTCAAAGATGAAACATCAGCATTATAACCAAGCAGTTGGAAACTACTGGAAACTTCTGCAAACTAACATGCTACAAAGAATACTTCATCTGCGTTTGTTAAAGGAAGGATCAGTAAAGAGTAACTTACTGATGGACTTCAGGATGGGTTTCTTCCTCCATTTCTCAAGTGTAAATACGTGTGATTAAAGTTGTTACCTCATTGACTCTAGCTTGCAAATGTATTTAGTTGTGATTTGTTACTTGTAACCGCGTGTACTGTATCAGGTTAACAGGCTATATTCTCTTATCGCGTGCAAAGTCACGTTAAAAACGCGACGCGTGCTACTTTGTTTACGGAGCTCTGTGGACAAGGGTAGTGTGTGTGTGTGCGCGTGCGCTGTCGTCCGGAGGTATGTGTGTGTGTTTGTGTGTTTGTGTGTGTGTGTGTGTGTGTGTGTGTGAGCGTGTGCGCGCGCTTTGTCGCCTGGAGGTGTGTGTGTGTGTGTGTTTTTGTGTGTGTGTGCGCGGATGAGGGCAATGTGTGTGTGTGTGTTTATGTCTGTGAAAAGAGCAGAGTGAGACAAGCTATGAGATCTCCTCGACAGTTTTTGGAGTTTTTGCTCAATAAAATAGTTAGTCGTCTGAATTTTCAAGTCTATCGACTGTATTTACATTGACCCACTGGCAACTAAAATCCACGCCTACACTATCGAGCGTGTATGAACTGTGATTACTTTTATATTGCTGATTAGCTGTTGTGCATTTCACTCTCTGACTGAAGGCAGTCGACCAATCGCAACAGGCTGTCATTGGTCCAATCAGCGCAGATTAGCTTCGCGCTAAGGAGGGGTTTGGGAACAAATGAATCACTGGACGATTCATACAGGAGTCGCTGGGATAATTAGGTAAAAATAAATGCAGATTATAAGACCATGAAAGTGTTTTTTGACCTTGCATGCATATTAGACTGTTGTTGGAGACCCTTACAACCAAGATATGACCCTATTTCATGTATAATATGGGCTCTTTAAGGGAATATTTTTGTTTATTTCTTTGATTTTCAACTTGCAACTTCAGTTCCCTCTCCCGTTTGTCTTATTTAATTTCAACATTAAGGTCATCTCTATGTTATTCCTTTTAATTCCCTAGACATATTTGCATCAAGAACCGTAACAATGTACAGTAATAGCATTATGACTAGGGCTGCATCTCTCAACTGATTTTGCAGTACACTTTTTGGAATCATTTTCCAGTCCATAATTTTGGAATAGCAAGATAGATGACAGATGGATGGACAAAAATAAACTATGTAAGATATATGTAGGGATGGATGATAGACAAAGACGGATGGAACAATAAACAATAGACAGAATAAGAGACAGACAGAACAATGAGTGCATATGGAGGAAAAGATAGAAGAATGGCTATATATAGACGAAACGGAACGACCGATGGATTTATATAGATGGAATGACGCATGGGTTTTTAATGGATGGAGCAATGGATGGAGGGATGGAACAGAGGCTGGATAGACAGATGGAGAGACACACGGATGGATGGAGAGACACACGGATGGATGGATGGATGGATGGATGGATGGATGGATGGATGGATGGATGGATGGATGGATGGATGGATGGATGGATGGATGGATGGATGGATGGATGGATGGATGGATGGATGGATGGATGGATGGATGGATGGATGGATGGATGGATGGATGGATAGTCTAATGGTTGGATGAAAAGAAGGATGGATGGATGGATGGATGGATGGACAGTGTGATGGCTGAAATGGAATGAAGGATGGATGGATAGACAGACAAACAGATGAATGGACAGGTTGATGGAACAATGTATTATTGGACAGATAGATGGATGGAAGGATGGAACAATAGATAGACTGAACAACAAATGAATGGAACAACAGATGGATGGACAGTCCTATAGATGGAACAATGGATGGATAGAAGGATGGAATAATGGAAGGTGGATGGCTGGATGGATGGATGGATGGATGGATGGATGGATGGACAGTCTGATGGTTGGATGAAAAGAAGGATGGATGGATGGATGGATGGATGGATGGATGGATGGATGGATGGACAGTGCGATGGCTGAAATGGAATGAAGGATGGATGGATAGACAGACAAACAGATGAATGGACAGGTTGATGGAACAATGTATTATTGGACAGATAGATGGATGGAAGGATGGAACAATAGATAGACTGAACAACAAATGAATGGAACAACAGATGGATGGACAGTCCTATAGATGGAACAATGGATGGATAGAAGGATGGAACAATGGAAGGTGGATGGCTGGATGGATGGATGGATGGATGGATGGATGGATGGATGGCCGGCCAAAATGATGGATGGATGGATGGATGGATGGATGGAGGGAACAACATATGGATGGATGGGTGGGTGGAATTATAGATGGAACAATGGATGGATGGATGGATGGATGGATAGAATGACGGATTGCCAGACAGATTATTAGATGAATGGATGATAGGTAGAACAATGACAAGACAGACAGATAAACAACTATATAGAATAGAACAATAGAGTGAAAGAATGAGAGAATAATGAAAGAATTGAGATAAGTATGATAGTTACAATGAGAGAAAGATTGATGAACACAAAGACAGAACAATGAATGAATGGATGACAGAATGATGAAAAGACTAATCAATAAACAGACAGACGTGCTCTACTCACCAGTCTCACTGTAACCCCACAGCTCAACATTGACTCTCTCTGCTTTTATTAGAGATGAAATCCATGTCATCTTCAGATCTCCGCCGACTCCTGGAGTGCCGTAATACTGCCACTGAGTGGCGTTACCCAGAATGATCTTATAGGCAGGACCCAGTTTACTGTGATGAACTGCACAATCACACAATCAGTCAACCTCACCACTAACACATATACAGTACAGTACAGTACAGTGAACACGAGGTAAAGCCCTATGACTAATGGATCTAATCATCACATCATGCAGTAAAACATACAATCATAATAAACCATATCAGCCAGCATCAACACTAAAGTCATGTTCTAGAAAGGAATGTCACAGCACTTCCAATTATTATTTGTTTTCCAGAATAACTTGCACTGGTGAATCATTCACCATAATGAATATGCATGAACTCTACAACAGCCACAGGGGAGATTAACCTATGATTGATTTATCAAATGCACATAATAGATTTTTAATAAAATATCCAAGTACTTCAGTATAAAAAGACTTTGACTTTTTACAGAGTTAATTTGGGGAATTAAATTGTTAGTTCACCCCAAAAAAATAATTCATCATTTACTCACATTCAAGTGGTGGCTGTTTTTTTTTTCCTTAACAGAATTTCTTCCTTTGTCTTCTGGTGCTTTCACACTAGACTTTTGTTTCGAAACCCTTCTCGTTTGCCCAGTTGGTGCGGTTAGTTTTGCATATGTGAAACCACCAATCACGCTCGGATCCAAAACAATAGCTCCGAGATCCCTTGAATGAGGTGGTCTCGGCTCGATTAAAACGAAATCTGGAGCAGATCGATTGTAGTGAAAAAAGCAATACAATCCGAGCCCAGTTATACCACAGTGTATTATGGATATGTAATAGGCATACGGCTATATGAATAGAGAATTATGAGCAGGGCGGGAGGTCATTCAACAGACATCCCAAGTCTCCCGGAAGTTTCGTTAGTCTCCAGCAAATGCACAGAGACTCCCGGGTGCCCGCAAACGAGTGATGATCTCCCGGAAATCGCGCGTCTCCCTCCCGGTCTTCAAATAGGCATCACGTCGCGCTCCCTTCTCACCCCTCCCCACCGCATCCCGTTCTCGCTCTTCAGACACGTCGCGCGCGCGCACCCTGTCAAACACCATTGATTGGCTACCATGCCCCTGACAGCTGAGTGGGACTCTGCAAAATAAACCGTGAAACTGACCAATGTGAGGAGAGTTTACTCGCACGTGACTTGTTTTAGCTTATTTGATCCGTTTAGAAACTTTGCCGTGTGAAAGCGAACCGCTCCAAGAGCAAAGAGCAAACATTGTAACAATTTTAATCCCCGTTTCGGAACAGCTGAATCGATTCACAGGTGTGAAAGCATCCTTTAACAGAAAACAAGAAAACCAAACTGGTTTGGAACAAGAGAAGGATGAGTAAATTACGACAGAATTTTCAATTTTAGGTGAACTATTCTTTTATCACCTATTAGCACCAGCAAGTCTACTGATATGTTGCTAGCCAATGCCTTTAACACAGGGTTAACCAGTTTTAGTCAAAGTCAAGGGCAATTTATGGATGCCGCACAGGTATTAGAGAAAGCCCAAACTCGGTCCCGGAGAACCAGTGTCCTGCACAGTTTAGCTCCAACTTGCTTCAACACACCTGCCAGGAAGTTTCGAGGGCTGCGTCCGAAACCACCTACTACTCAGTAGGTACTGCATTTGAATTTAAACATACTAATCAGCCATCAGAAAAGTATGTTCTATACAGTATGAATGTGAAAAATATGAATGGAATTCGGACATACTACATCGGCCATTTTGTCATGGTCACATGACCTACCTGCGTCAGTTGCGTCAATTCACTCCCATTCATGAATTCTCTCGCAGGGCATCATGGGATAGCGTAGCGTGCATGGGATGCACACTTCAGAGTCTCGACCGAAGTAGCAAGTCATCCAGGTACTTCTCGCATACTGATTTTCGACTTCTATGTAATCGGACATACTACTCGGCTCACATACTGATTTTAGTGTACTGTATAGTATGAAAGTATGCGTTTCGGGCGCAGCCTAGTATACCTAGAAAGGGCTTGATTAGCTGGTTCAGTTGTGTTTGATTAGGGTTGGAGCTAAACTCTTCAGGACACCGGCCCTCCAGGACCGAGTTTGGACACCCCTGTATTAGAGGCACTAAATGACATTAGTGATGGTGTGTTGATATCACGATGGGGTTTATTAGAAAAGTAGTGAGTGAGTGACTTTTGATGGGCATTTCCATAAACTTCACATCTCACCTGAGAGCCACTTCCCCGATCGGTCATAATTCAGCCCATCAGTGGACACTTCAAACGGGATCCATCCGGACTCATAGAGCAGAGGAGAAATACAGTGACCCGCACCGCTCTCGTCCACATAACCCTCCGTCAAGATCTCTGAGCTGAACCTGTTCAACACAACACTCAGAACTCATCACATCTCATTAAAGTCCTCACACAATCCATCTTCAACAGAGTAAATTCTCGAAGTGAATTTTGTAAAGCAATAATGATTTTAAAAAACACAACAACAAATAAAACAATTTCCATTTTTTTTGTGTATTTACGCTTTTGAATTGCATTATGGGATATTAATCTGTGCTTTCATAACTGATGATGTTTAAGCAAAGTGAATTTTTTAGTGTGTTGTATGCAGTGTAAAATTTTATTTTTAATAGTTTAATCGAATATATTGTCTGGGTTTGTCATGTTGCAAGTATTTATTTTATTTTTTGTTATAGACTATTTTGAGGGATGTAAATAATAACGGTCCTATTGTTTTTCCTGTATTACATTTTTGATTAAAAAAAAAACTTCAGGAAATTCAAAAAGGTCCACATATTAATAAATAATGTTATGACTGCTTATGTTAAGATATGATTGATGTCCTCTTGTTATGGTTATGAAATGGTTTAACAACAAGCAGGAAGTGTTCATGAGCCAACGACGTCACCACATTGAAATGGTCTATATGTTATTTTATGGATATTTATATTTATATATATGGATATCCACATATATATAATTAAATATAATTACGGTTGAAGTCAGAATTTTTAGCCCCCCACAATTCTTGTTTTTTTATATATATATTTCCCAAATGATGTTTAACAGAGCAGGGGAATTTTCACAGTATGTCTGATAATATTTTTTTCTCCTAAAAAAAAAGTCTTATTTGTTTTATTTTGGCCAGAATAAAAGCAGTTTCAAACTTTTTAGAAGCCATTTTAAGGTCAAAATTATTAACCCCTTTAAGCTATATTTTTTTCGATGGTCTACAGAACAAACCATCGTTATACAATAACTTGCAAAATTACCCTATCATGCCTAGTTAACCTAATTAACCCAGTTAAGTCTATATTATTTTCCATGTGCTTTTATTCAGGAAAACAAAAACAAAAAAGGCCATCCTAAGCTGCCAAGGGCATGAGAACAAGACCATCTTATCTCACTCAGCCTTCACCAAAACCACTTGCTGTACAAATAAACATTTTTAACTCCGTCTTTGTCCTTCAGGAATTCAGAGGAATCAAAACACGAACACTTGCAATATTTTGGAAAAAACTTCAGATGAATTGTGACTGGTTACAGAGCAGCATTATTTTGCAATATATAATATAACATACGTAAATTTAACAATAGAAATCATGACCTTTCCATGCAAAAAATATGTATAATAGGTTTATTATAGCTAAGTACAAAAAGGTAAAACCAGCTAACTGTTAAAGGAAATACAGTCCTCGTCATTTTCATTTACCATTTACTTTAACTTGATGGCCAAAATAACTACAAAAAAAAAAAAAAGAAAAAAGAAATCAAACCACAACAGCCCAATTTGTTGTTGTGTTTTTTTTTTTTTTTTGTAGTTATTCTAGCATTAATAATTCTAGCATAAATGTTATAATAATATAATCAACTTGTTATTTATAACACACAGAAATGGGTATATGTAAAAAGCACTTTAAATTATCAATAAAATTAAAATAGTTTCTTCAAATCTTCATCTTATGTATTTAAATGTTTTATATTACCAGGGGGGTGGGGGGGAGAGACTAAAAATACATACATAAATAAATAAAATAATAAATACACTAAATATCATTGTAATATTTAACATAATAGCTGTAACATAAAGATAGGGAATACTTAAAAAAAAGCACTTCATATTATTTATTCATTCATTTTCCTTCATATAAGTCCCTTATTTTTCAGGGGTCACCACAGCGGAATGAACCGACAACTATTCCAGCATAGGTTTTACTCAGAAGATTTCCTTTTAGCCCTAACCCAATACTAGGACACATATTATTAATAAAAACTAAAATAACATCTTCAAAGTATACTATTTAACGTATTTATCTTTTTATATAATTAGGAAAAAGAAGACTGAAAATACACACATAAAACAATTAAAAACAATAAACACATGCTAAATACCCTTATAATATTATTTAATATATTTGTAACAGAGATAGGCAATACTATAAAAACACTTCAAATTAATAATTAAACATAAAATAATATACTTTTAAGATACTATTTAATGTATTTATCTTAGGAAAATAATACAAAAAATACATGCATATTAAAAATAATGAACACATATTAATATTATTATAATATTATGTAACATAATATTTGTAATGCACAGATAGGGGATACTATAAAACACACTTCATATCACTAATAAATAGCAAAATAGCATTTTAAAGGTATCATTTTTAATATGCATTTTATATTATTAAGAAAAGACTAAAAATAGATACATAAAAACAAATAAAAGAGCTTAGAAGCTTTATGGCATTTAATAAAAATGAAATGAACTACTCACTTTAATTTATTAAAGCTTGTATGTTTATTATCTGCATGTTAAATTATCTGCATGTCCAAAATTTGACCATTGAAATTGAGCTTTTTGTGCTTCACATTAGAACTTGTGCTGGGCAAAAATCAATCGTGAATAATCACATCCAAAATAAAAGTTTGTTTTGACATCATTTAAGTGTGTCTATGTATATTTACTATGTATATATACACAGTGCTCGGCATATACGAGTACACCCCATTTTGAAAATGAATATTTTATCCATTTCTCAGTGAATATGGGTAATATATATGGCTGCATTTAAATAAAAAAAACATTTTTATTAAACAGATATCTTTATTAAAATAATATTATAATCACAGGACATTTTTAGAAATGGAAAGAGAATGCATTTAAAATCATGCAAAATATTGCAAAAACAAATTACAAACTACAACATTGACAAAACTTTTGCTTTTGTTGAAAATGTTATTTAATATTTTCCCCTAACATAAATTTGGGCTACTAATTTTAGAACCATTATTATCAAGTTGTTTTGTTAGATAAGATCCAGATTTAGCTTCACTACTGACTAATGTATATGCACAAATATAAAAATGTAAAGCATTCTATATAGAAAACTTATATATGTACTTATATATCACATATACACATTAAATATATAAATTACACACACATTATGTCAAAAAAAAAAAAAAACTTTTATTTTGGATGTGATTATGTGAGAGCAGAAGTAAACAGTACTTTCAAGGAGCTGTTAGAACCAGTGTGCAAATTACATTGACAATTGAGTCAAATTTTCCAATAGTAGTTTGGCAATACATGCTTCGGTGAATCAAATTTATGAATGTATTTAAATTACATCGGATTTATTAATAAAATGTATGTTTCCATTGTTTTGAGGGATATTTAGAGACTATTTCAGAGGTTAATGTACATCAAACTATACAAATGTGTCTAAATTGTCTATTTTTTAAAACTACATGCAGATATAAACAGCTATTTTAGAAAAAGAGTGTCCAGTGAATGCTTAAGATGTCTATCGGTGCTCTAGAACCGCCAGATTTAGACTTGAATGATATTTCCACCGTTGATTGACGCGATGGAATGCATTGGTATGAACCGTTATGGGGGGTGGGGGGGGGGGGGGGTCAAATGTATATTTATATTAAACATTTTGAATCATTAATATTTAAGTAAGCTTTATTGAAGAAAGCTATTATTATCCTGTTATTAAAGGGCTAAACCTGCATAAGGGGGGGGGGGGGGGGGTTGGGGGGGGATCAAGCGCCCCTGTAATTCGCACCCTGGTTAGAAATGTCTGAATGTTTTAAGCAGCTGCTTTGCACACTTCACAGAAGACGCTCTCTTACCTGCAAGTGAGGGTAATGTTCGGTTCAAATGTAGCATTAAGGATTTTAAAGTCTGTGCCTCCCAGCAAAGACCCGGAGTGAGGCTCAATGTCAAGGCAAAAGTGTCTATAATCAGCACAGCAGTCCTTCAGAGATTCACATGTAGCGTGACAGGAGCATGTGTTCAACTTCTCTCCACAGTGTCTGGCACAAGACCGCGCTTGAGGAACGAACAGAGACATTGCTGCTATTGCCACACACAGATTTTGCATCACACATATTCCCTATCTTATAGATAGTTTATCAAAAGAATAGCAACTTACCAGCAGTCCAGGATAGAAGCTGAAGAAACAGCACAATGAACGTACACAGATGCATTTTAATTCTCATATTTGCACAGCACTGTTTCTGGATTGAGATGGTTTAAACATCGTCTTATTGCGTCGTATGCAAACACAGTATATAGTATATGAGTGGTTCTCAGTCATGACATTGTGACAAAGGTCTCTCTCTCTCTGTGGTCTAAACGTACCTTGTAACTGTTTGACAGCTTGCAGACAAGATGCCATAAATGAAACGCATGGCGGAAGAAACGTGCATATCATTGATTTCATATAACGCCGCTATCTGTGCAGAGCATTATTATTGCCGCATATGCAATCCAACTATATCATTTTACAAACTTGTTCTGTCCTCGTGCGACTTTCGGACTTCGGACACACTAATAGTTGGGTGGGCAAGATGTGACGATTGTGGGAATGCCCCCCAAAACAAAGCTTCAAAATTAAAGTCCCTTAAATAAATAAATAAATAAATAAACAAACAAGCAAATAAATAACAATTGGGGTTAGTTATTTAACTCTATCTCTTATGGGTTAAACATGGGTCGGAGTAAAATTAAAAGGTGTTGACATCTCTTCAAAAATATACATTAAACTATAGTAGTTTTATAGATTTTTTCTCTTTTTTAGTAAATTATTATTGCTCAAAATAACAAATATCTTTAGTTGTTGTGGTTGAACTCGATTATCTTACAAAATATAGCATTTTAAACTTGCTTTCATAATTTATTTTACGCAAAAATAATTAATAATACATCATAACATTAGAATTAAGTAATTTTAAATCGGCCTGTGTGCATTTACGTTTGTTAAATAATTTAAAACCTTATAACAGGGTTTCTGCAGGATTCACAAGTTATATTTAAGACTTTTAAAAAGCATTTTTAAGACTATTATGCATAAAATTTGAAACTCATACAGGGCAAAACGCTAAGGAGTTTTTGAATGGCTTAGTTGGAAAAGAGTTTTATTTGCCTAATTAAACTTTCCTTTTTATAATTAAATACATTTAATAATACAAGAATAATTTAATATTTTTGTTAATTCTAAGCTAAATATTTTAAATATTGAGTAAAAACAAGCAAGCTCTACTTGTATACATACCCTTATTAACGTAACTTTTCTTGAAAAAAAAAAAAAAGGAAAACTGTTAAAAAAAAAAAACTATAATTAAATAAATCTATGCACAACAATCTGTCCAGGTCGGTGTCCTCAGCAGTAAATACTCTGAGAACTTTTAAACCAATCTTATTGAAAGGAAAATAATGAATCTATTATGGTAAATGGAGATAAAAACTACATTCTTAAATCCAACGTTTCAAGTTTTATTGAGATGGATTGTTGGTGATTGTATACATGTTGGCCAAATTGAGTAGAAGTACATGAACAAAGGAACATTAAGGCCTGTTTAAAAAAAGATTTAAGACCAACAACACAATATTTCAGTCATTTTAAGACTTTAAGGCCTACAATTTTATATTGTTTGTGAGATTTAGGACATTAAGGCTTTAAGATTTCAGTGAACACTCTGTTACAGTATAAGCATGATGAGCTGTCAACGTGAAAAGATAACAGCGCTGCCACAGATTATATAGTTTGATCTTAGTCATCAGATAAACCAAGATTTTTTTATTTATTTACTTATTTTTTAAATCGCATTCAACCAGAGAGTTAGGCTAGGCTATTAAAATTCTAACAATAGCTAATAAAGATTTAACATACATATGACTTTTTTTTAAAATAAACGGCAGTTTTGTACACAAGGCATTTAATACATCCAATATAACTTTTCTATATCTAATTAACACATTTATTAGCCGATGCACCTGTATAAATGACTGATCATAATGAATCAATGAGACGAGTGACTCTATTGATTACATTAACATTTAATTATTATATTAATTAAAAACATATTCACACATGTTCTTTTTAAATGTAAACTTTTTAAAATGCTTTGGCAAAACATTTGTAAAATTTGTCATGCCGATAAAGCAATTATTGAATTGAATGAACTCCTGTAATAAAGGCTCCATGGTCGGAAACCTTTCAGTTGACGACAGGTTGGGGGAATTTCCAAATAAGCCAACAAGTTAGCATAAAAAATGAACTCTATATTGAGTTTTATCCACCGATATTTATTGAGACTTTGATGGAATCTACCATCAGGTAATAAACTAACACGCAATTGCATGTGAAGAGAGCGACTAGCCTTTAAACAAAGTCCCCATATGGTTGTAGTAGCCTAGAGTCAGTTAATGGCTTTAGATGTTTAGCAATGTCCTGGAATTAAATAAATAAAAAAAGCCAGCTTAATATGTGAGAGTTTAACACACTCGAGTAGTTATTATTTTCCAGCCCGCAGTACATCATAAAGCATAGTCAATTTAAGGCTACAGATTAATAATATTTTTACATCTAATGCTATAAAACAGATCATTTAAACAAGCGGTTTTGACTGCTTTCATTTAAAAATCAATAAACCAAGACAATATAAATGAACGAAAAGCAACAGCTTACAGTTTTGAAATAGATGTATTTCATTGCACAAAAGTTGAACTCATGGCTTAATATTTCAAAAGAAGAAAAACTAACATACCAGCAGTCAGATTTCACATGATGCACAGGAGTCACACAACACTTGAGATGTTTACAGTAATTAACATAATGCATTCATCATAACCAGGTACACACTTCCCAGCAGGCACACATCATGGACGTTAATATTAGGCTAGATTTAGGTCATGACGTCAGGTGACCAAAATTCAATGTCTAGCCAGCATCTAATAACAACGCTATTCTGATGTCCAATAATGATGTCAAATTACGTTGATATTTGGTTGATTTTATGTTGTGTTGGAAAGTGACCAAAATCCAACGTCTGAGAGATGTCATAGAGGTAACGTCCACACAACGTGAAGGTGTAGCATGATTAGACATTGATATTTGGTTGATTTTAGGTTAAACATTGGACTCTGACGTCAGCTTGACATTGGGTTCTGACGTCAACCTGATTTTCATTTCCAAACTAAATCAAACGTCCCCATGACGTTGGGGTACAACATCAATATGACGTCAGGTTGACGTCCTGTGCCTGCAGGGTTGGTTTTCACCTTCCAATGAAAAACAAAAAAACTAAAACTAAATATTGAGATGTCGATTTGTTCACACACTCTCTTACAACACACAATTTAAAACAGCTTCCCTCTTATCATTTAAATACAATTGCTTTTGACTAAATACACAAACAATGACTTAAAAAAAATTCACAAACATTCCCACACACTCTACACTACAAAATAGTCTTTAAATATCTTTAAAATGAGGTACAAAAATGTTTTTACCACTGAACGATGGCATTGAGACCTCCACTTTAAGGCATAAACTCACTTCAGAGGATGTTGATGCATAGCTGTAAAACGCTGGCTAAAATAATAACTGCAATAAAGTGGTGTTGCACAAAAAGCTGAACATAAGCACTCAACAGAGGAACATACAGAAAATTAATGCTGAGAGTTGAAATGCACAGAAAATGCTTTAACTATGGCCCTGGAATAAAGTTTGTTGAGCATACAGTTAATGTTTAGTTCATATGGAGATAGAATTACCTTTCAAATGGCAAACAGAATGATCTTGTTTCCATTGCTGATGAGAACAGGTGTCAATGCTAGAGCAGATCAGAATATTAATAGTATGAACATTAAGCATAGTGGAAGAAAACATAGTTATGTGGAAGACAAAAGCTATAGCAGGGAATCTACGGTGAGATCTGTGATGGTCAAAAGCGCGAGGTTAGCTTCTGAATTAGCTCTGAATTGCTGAAATAGTTTTTTGCTGCATAGAAATGTAACATTTTATAGACTTTTTGTATAAGGACATTTTTAACAAACTCTAATTGAAGCCATTTTTATAGCTGGCGTAATATTAAAGAAGCACTCCTTTTCCATCTTACATGTTTGTTGAATTTGATCTCATCTTATCTGTTGTTGTTGTTGTTTTGAGCTTTACATGTTATGCTAGACATTTAATTTACAAATGGGTTACATTGGTAGCCCTTAAAACTTTATTTTTTAGTATTTTTCTAACCTTTAAATAAATTAATTTTGTATTTTCCTTCGATTTGTTTTGGTTTTCTTCATTTGTTGCGTGTTTGAGCTGGCATGTAACAAATGGGAGCTCTTCCTCAAGTAAAACCTTGATTGGCGTTTGCTTTGTTTTGCAGTCTCTTGTACTTTCTTGGATTGTTTTGAGAATAATTAATAAGAAGTATCGAAAGTGGCTATGTTTATTTTTGATATTTATACTATCAGGAATGCGATTCTATTTAGCCCAATAAAATCTGGGAGTATAGTTTTCTAGCTTGATAATGGATTTGGTTATAAACTTTCGATATTTTTAACACAAGGCTGATATCTGCCTGTTAGGTATGGGTATAGCAACTTAGCAACACTTTGCATTGGTTTTTGTTGATTTGGTTTGTTATTTTTGTGCTAACGTCAGGTTAAAGGTGCAGTCGGTGATTGTTTTCAGAAACATTTTTTGTTGTGCTGGTTGAAAGTCTCTTCACATTCCAATAGTAATGATTAAAGTAAATGATCTAAATGCATTTATAAGTGTTTTTATATTCTATACATAAGAAATAAAATGTAAGAAATAAAAAAAAACGTTAATTTAATTACAAATTTTTAGGCTAATAATTCCCATAATTCTGATAAGTCGCCCAAACTGCCTGTCAACAAATGTAGATTTGTAAATTTGCTTACTCAGAGAGAGTGACAGCAGTAAAAGCAAATGCTGAATCAAAACCTTTGAAAATCCTGAATCAATATTGGAGTTACTTTTGCATGCTGGAGGAAGGATGAAGTATTTCTTTTAGACAGGTAATTTTTGGTTTAAGAACTATTTTAGAGTTTATCAGCCACTGAAATCTTCCAGCGAAATATATACCATATAATGGTTTATTCTCAAAACCCACCTACAGTATAACCCATTAAGAGAATAAGCTCAACCCTGTTAGACCATGTGCTGCAGCGGGAAAAAAAAAAAAAAAAAAAAAAAAAAAAAAAAAAAAAAAAAAAAAAAAAAAAAAAAATCGCAAAAGTGGATTTAGACTTAGCGCTTTTACGCCCTGCACTTTGGTATTTGCACCTGGATCATTAAAATTAGTCTTATCTGAAAAACACACAAATCGTGTGAGTGAGAACAGCGATCCTTGCATGCATGAAATATTGCACAATATTGCACATTAAGTTTTGCTTGCTACACAACTGAAAACGTGCTTGATATAATACAGTTTTTCCTTCAAAATTGTAGTATTATAAACTACTATAAATTTGTCTTCGTTTGTGATTTCAAGAGGCGTGGCTTTAGACAGCAGGGGAGACACTGGGTTAAATATATTATGCTAACAGATTGCATTTAGGCAGATCACCTACTGCACCTTTAGGAGTACTGCAGCTTCTGACATCGGTAAGTATTTGAGTGCTTAAAGATACTTGACTCTTTGTGAAAGCATACAGATTATGTTGAGTTAGAATAACTCAAATAACAAATAGTTGATGTAACCAGTGGAGGAATTCAGACTACATATTTGAAAGCCATAATAAATGTGTTATTATATTTGAAAGCATTTGCCACGGAAATAACATGGTTCAGCTTTATATATCTAATGGTCCTATAAATAACTCTT